CAAATCGCTCCTGAGGCATTGTTGAGCGAGAACAGCACTCAAAGGGTCTAAGTACCAACACTTATTAATTCTATTCTAAATTGCGGAGTCTGGCTCTCACGTTTTACAGAATGTCGGTGCGTAGTTTCCTTGGGAGAGTGGTCGTTGTTAACCCGCAGTGTGCTCATGGAACCCAAACTGAAAATTGGACCAACATCCACACCCCAAACTCCCCTCCCAAAGCACAAATTCACAGAGTCTCCACCCCCAAACCCTAAAACCCGAACCCCNNAACCCCCCCCCCCCCCCGTAGCCACTCTTCAAGTAAGCCAGGGTTCGAGCACGGCGTGACCTCCGGGGTGCCAATGTAGCCCGCAGCACAGGCCGCCTGCACCTTGAAGACCTGAAACAAGGGGGCTTAGGGTTTAGGATTCAGGGGGTTCCTTCACGGGTGAACTGGGGGGGTTAGAGGATATAGGGATACCAAAATTTCGAGAAGGTCTTAGAAAGGTTGAACCTGGGAAACAATATAGGTGCCTTCGTGATTAGACTTTGGTTCGGAGCCATTCTGTACGACTGTCATATAGAGACTAAATTCGCATCATATCTTACAGATCTTGTTCTCCAGTTTAAAGGGGGGATTGCAGCCCAGGGCACCGACTGGCGTAGGTTGGTCTCGGTGACCAGGTATCCCTCGGTAGACTCGGGGGCGACACAAACGTCGGTGCTGTAGGTGCAGCCGCCGAGAGTGTAGACCTCCCCAGTCGCTGAGCAGGCTGTGACGGAGGCCGTGCCCTCGTAGCCAAGGTCGCACTCCACCTTAACGTCAAAGGTCTGCTGCAGCTTGGAGACTTCAGTGATTTTGTAGCCCTTTGTTTCGGAAGGAGTGACGCAGACGATCTTCTCCTCGCAGCCGGCGATGGTGTAGGGCGTCAGTGGCCTGGTGCAGGCCGTCACTTGGGGAGTTCCCACATGAGTGCTCTTGCATGTAGCCGTCACATCGAAGTTCTCCATGGCCACGGAGTTCTCCACCAGGTCGTAGCCCTCCGAAGAGTCGGAAGCAGGGGAGAAGCACTTCTTTTCGGCCTCGCAGCCGGTGAGGGCGTAGGAGCCCAAGTCATCAGAGCAAGGCGTCACCGCAGCCGTGCCGATGTAGTTCGGGGCACATTCCGCCGTTACATCCAAGTCCGTCTTGCGGAGCTCCACCTCCGTGACCAAGTAGCCCTCCGTGCTTTCCGGGGCCGTGCAGGCACCTCCGTAGGAGCAACCACTCAAGGAGTAGCTTCCACCAGGCTTCGAGCACTTCTTCACCTTCGCCGTGCCCTCGAAGCCGTGGACGCACTTGGCGGTCACATCGAAGGACTCCATGAACAGGCTCTTCTCCTCGACCAGGTAGCCTCAGTCGGGGGAAGGCGATCCCCCGAAGATCGGCAAGACTCTAACCTAAACCATCCCAAACCATACGAAAGGCTGTAAACCCCTAAATCCCAAAAAGGGTCGTCTTTTCATGAACCCAGGAGCTCTCAGCTGCCTTCGGTGCCAGGCAGAGAGCGTTGCAGCCGGAGAGGACGTAGGGCTTGAGATGATGGTCGCAAGGCTTCACCGATCCGGTTCCTGCCAGCAAGCTCTTTGCGGTTTCGGGTTTCGGGTTTAGGGGTTTAGGGGTTTAGGGCTTGGGGTTTAGACAATTCTGGGGAAGGCCAAGATCTCAGACTCCGGATCTTGGTTGAAGTTCAGGCCTCGCTATTGAGCGGTATTAGTGTTTTCAATCTGGGGCACCCCTTGCGGGGTCCCCCCTCAAACCCTGTATGATGAACTGCTCCAATTGACCCCCGAAACACTTGAAAGATCTCAGGAGCAGAGGTTTGGGCTGGGGAAGTTTGGAAAGCGCGCACATATCTGCTCCAGATGCGACCCACAGCCAAGGTAAAGACCAAACTCACAGAATTGCCAACATGCACTCTAAAAAACACCCTAAATCCTACACCCAACCCTGAACCCGACCCCCTACAGCCTGAGCCCAAAGCCGCGCCTGTGTATCCAGCAGCACAGGAGGCCGTGACGTCAAACTCGTGACGGAGAAGTGCCTTTTCCTCGACGATGTAGCCCTCCTCTTCATGGGTTATAGGGTTTAGGGTTTCTATAGGGTTCAGGGTCTAGGGTTCAGGGTTTAGGGTTCAGGGTTTCGGAGTCTATAGGATCTATGGGTCTTGTGGGGTTGATAGGGTTTGTAGCGTATAGGGTATAGGGGGTTTTAGGATTGAGGGCTTAGCAATCTCACAGCCTCGGTGGTCTCTGGGGCGCAGCTTTTCAGGGCTCAGGGTTTAGGGTTCGGGTTTGGGGTTTAGGGTTTAGGGCGCAAGGCCTTCAGCTGGTTCTATAGGTTTAGGGGGTTACTTTAGGAGGCTGAAAGTCCCAAGCCCAAACTCTGCCTGATGTGGTTTCCTAGATGTGGCTTCCTAGGCCCTGAGCATGGATCTACATCACAGAGGTCTCAACCAGAAACTCCGCTTATTCTTGTTTAGAACCAACATCCTAAGCAATCCTCCGATCTCGAGCCCCCAAACCGAGCGCATAATTCAAGAGGTTTCGCAGTTCAAGCTCTTACTGGTGGATAAACGTGAGGATAAACGTGAGAGGATGCACACCCCGGACATCTCTGAAACCTCTATAATCCAATTCTCCCGACCCCCCCCCCACCCCCCCAAACCTCCGAAACCCCGTCGTCATGCAATCTCACAACACCCCGCATTAACGAAACCACGGTAAATCCCTGACCCCTAAACCCTCATCCTTAAACCCTAAACCCTAAACCCTAAACCCCCAAAAAAAAAGCTCTCCAAGCCCAAGGCACGGTAGTCTCCGGGCTCGTGCAGATGGCGCTGGTGCGGCACCCGGAGAGCTGGTACTTCGCGAAGGTTTCGTTCTGGGCCCAACGGCTGGCACTTTTTGGAGGAGTTTTGGGCTCTTAGGGATTCGGGGATTTAGGGCTAGGGACTAGGGATGACAGCCGAAGGTGGAACATCTTGAGGTCACCGTTCCTAAGCCCTAGGCCTAAATCCCAAAAACCCTTATAGTGATCCTTAAAGTAGCCCTTATGGTAAGCCGTATTGACTTATGGTAACCCTTTTAGTAGCCCTTTCGGTCGAGGAGCGCACTTCGTAACCGTTGCGGTCATGCTCGGATCCAGGGAACACTCGGCTTGCACGTCGAAGCTGTCGACGTCCAAAGAGCCTCACTAGTCCCGGAGACAGCCACTTTGCTCGTTTAGAGGCTCAGACTCTTGGGTTTAGGGTTTAGGGTCAGGGTTTAGGTCTCAGAGACTGCGGGCTGTGAGTAGGGGGATGGGCTCTTGGCGCTTTCGCTTTGGAAGTGTCAGGTCTCAACATCCGAAAAAGGAAAGGACCAATTCCGCTGCGGCGAATGCTTTTCTTCTTGTTCGGAACCTTCTTGTTGGGAACACTACGATCGAAGTGTTGATGTTGCTCTTAAGAGTCTTGTCCATACTTTTTAATTGCTTATGACCACCATTCCCAGTATTTGTTCCGCATTGTTCTTGCTCCTAAACACGACATCTGCCATTACCCTATACAGCACCGTAACGCAACCGGCACCCTAGACTCTAGCACAAATGACTTTTTCGAAAGCAACAGATACAGCAATATGGGAGATTCAACAAATCAGTGGCCCTGGTGTAGACCCCAATTAGTAGCATCCTTACTCTAAGGACTCCTAAACAAGGCGTCTCAAATATTGAGCAATCCTTCCAAGCCTTCAGAATGAGACAGCATATAACATCACACACACCAAAAACTCTGGAAATACTTACACATGGACTGTAAGAGAATCATACTTCTAGTACTTCCGACCCGCAGGTTTTCACTTTTCACCCCAAACGCCGCAAACCCCCTGTCCATCGAGGCGCGCTCATTCACCTTGTAGCCCTTGGTCTCGTTGGGAGCGATGCAGTGGCGACCTGTTGGGTGTTGAAGGGCTCTTGTTCGGAGGATTCTTGGTTTGGTCCTTACAGCGGCACTCATACATATATATATATGTATATATATATATATAGATACAGATACATATGTCTATATATGTATATACATATACACGTGTGTGTATATATATATACAACACAACACATACATATCTATGCAGATACAGATAGAGATAGAGGTAGGGGTACAGGTAGGGATGGAGATAGACATAGATATAGATTCAAATATAGATACAGTTGCAGGCACATTGTAGATTGATAGATATCTACCTATCTATCTATCTACCTATCTATCTATCTATCTATCTATATATATATATCGACTTCAGGATGTCGGCCTCTAGGACTTCTAGGGCCTAGGGTCTAGGCAATTAAGTTGGAGGGGCCGACGGGCCGAGCTTCTGCAAATCCGTGGCGAAAACTTTCCCTTCGGGGTTCTAGGACTTAGGTTCAAGGTTTCCGGAGGGGGCAAATGCTGAAGTGCGAGGGTGACAATTAGCTGTGTTCATCCTTGCAACACCAAAACCAACCAAGTCAAATGGTTCTGAGTACGCAGGTAGTGAGGATTAGGCTTCAGGCCGTGATCCACGGCATTTGTGTCAAGTGGGACAGAAGCAAATCTGCTCAAAGCCGATACAATGGTCACTTCTAAAACCAGTGAGCATATGACAAGTTGCAACAGCAAAGACAATGGAATTCCAATTGATCACGGTCATAACTGATAACCACAATAGCAATGTGTGCAATGGGATGAAGATAAACAACTCTGAGTCCAAGATGCTCCATTTGCAGCCAGTCAGTCTATAGCTCTGGCCGGGATGCTCGCAAGACATCGCGACCGCCTCGTACCAAAAGACGCTTACAGAAGTCCATTTTGCTATTTTGGCTTTCCCTTTTGGTAGCGGAAACTTCCTCCACGTCCGCAACGTTTACAACAAAACCCATCTTTCTGCGGCAAAGGCATGCCTGCAAAAAGCCCCACGATCCGATGTTCCACATTATAGTTGGATATTCAGGCAATACAATAAGCAGACTATGCTAACAGCAAAACAATATTACAGGATACAGTTGCGTTACGTACTGCAAAATCATATCGTGATATTGCACATTAATGAAACCATGCGATGTAATGAATGTAATGTAAAATAAGATAAGACAAGACAAACACGGACAATATTGAAGAAGATAAGTGGGATGAACCTAACATAATGCGGCATAACATGGTACAACAAAACATAACATATAGTTTGCTACAGTATAACATAATGTAGTCGGATATAGCAAAACAAACTATGATGTAAGATAATGCAGTACAGTACAATACAAAGCTCTCATATACTATTACATATAACACTACTGCAACATATCATATCATATCGTATCATATCATATACTGCACTATACTTTGTTATACTATATACTATGTATATTATACCATGTTGCATGGCAGAATATGATAGCCATATAAATTTAGTATATTATGACGCAATGTTATATGATAGAACACAGTAGAATATGATATAGCATGACGTGCCAGAACGTAACACACCATAACGCAGCAACGCATATTATGCAGGATGTGATGTAACATAGCTTGGCGTAACACAACATAGTATAATGCATTATTATGTGGTCATACAATATCTCTTGATACGATATGATATGCCTTGATACGATATGATATACTAGACTATACTACTGGATACTGTGCTACACGATACTGTACTATGACCATAATTCTCTGCCTGGCCGTCGTAACCCTCCCAGCAGCTGGCAGACACCTTGGGGCTCGATGCTTCTAGTGGGGTTGATAAGGGTATAGGATTTAGGATTTAGGGTAGGGTTTAGGTGGAAAGGCCGATGGAACAGGTTTAAGGAGGGTAGTCTGTCAGCTTGAGATATCAGCCTCCTACAAATGCGTCTCATGAAAGGCAAGCCGTACGGATCCCCGAATCCCAAAACCCAACTTCTCCAAACCCCATACACCTTTGAAGCCCTCCATGTCTCTGTAAAGCAAGCTGCGTCGAAGTCGTCAATGTGAATCGACTTGACCTTCAGGTCATAACCTGCAGGAGATGTCTGCTCTCAGGCTGCAGGGTTTGGGGTTTAGAGTCGTGGTGCCGGTACTCTCATGATGTCTGGCTTTTGGGTTTCGGCCGTCCCACCTTGCGCGTCTTTTGGAGGCACGCAGTCGGCAGATGTGACCTTGCTCGAAGGTCTTACGGCTTTGGAATCGAAGTGCATGCCACAGATCTTGTGTAAGAGATGCATCTTCACCGTGCTTCGGCCAGTGCAAAAATACTGTAGCTGAAGCTGATACGCAGGCCAGGTGATCCGCTGCTGATACTGCCTCTATCAGGTTCTATCTACTTAATCTAGTTCTTGTGAGGATGTCAAAAGCATTGGCTCGGAAATGCAGGGCATAACCCTGAACACAAGCATGCGAATCTGCATATGCCTTGCCGTCCAGACACAGTGGTGGTGGTCGTGAAGGTACTGGTCGTAGTCGTAGTGCTTGTGGAAGTCGTCGACGTGGTCGTCTTGGTGCTTGTCGTCGTGATCGTGGATGTGGTTGTCGATGTAGTCGTTGTCGTGGATGTAGTCGTGGAAGTTGTCGTGGTTGTCGACGTCGTTGTGGAGGTGGTCGTGGTTGTGGAGGTCGTCGTGGAGGTCGTGGTTGTAGTACTGGTGGATGTTGACGTGCTGGTGGTTGTGGTAGTTGTAGTGCTAGTCGTAGTGGTCGTGCTGGTTGATGTAGAAGTCGTAGTGGTGGTTGTCGTCGTTGTGGTCGTTGATGTGGTAGTTGTTGTGGTGGTGGTGGTGGTTGTCGTGGATGTGGTGGTAGAGGTAGATGTAGTGGTGCTGGTCGTCGTCGTTGTCGTTGTGCTGGTGCTAGTGGACGTTGTGGTGGTTGTGGTTGTGGTAGTCGTTGTCGTGGATGTAGTTGTCGTGCTGGTGCTCGTGGACGTTGTGGTGGTTGTTGTAGAGGTCACCGTGCTAGTCGTGGTTGTGGTTGTCGAGGTTGTCGTGGTAGTGGTGATAGTCGTTGTCGAAGTCGTGGTCAAAGTTGTCGTGCTTGTCGTGGTTGTAGTGCTTGTTGAGGTGGTAGTGGTCGTGGTTGATGTGGAGGTGGTGGTGGTTGTAGTTGTTGTGAGAGTGGTCGTTGTTGTGCTCGTCGTGGTGGTAGTGGAAGTGGATGTGGTAGTTGTAGACGTGATGGTGGTTGTGCTGGTAGTTGTGGTTGTGGTACTTGTGATGGTGCTCGTTGAAGTAGTGGTGATGGTGGTTGTGGTAGAGGTCGTTGTGGTGGTGCTTGTAGTTGTAGTTGTGGTCACTGTGGTAGTGCTGGTCGACGTGGTAGTGGTGGTGGTGCTCGTCGTAGTGGTCGTTGTCGTCGTGGAAGTTGTTGTGATCGTTGTAGTGCTGGTAGAAGTCGTCGTTGTGGTGCTTGTTGATGTGCTTGTCGTCGTGATCGTGGTAGTGCTTGTGGAAGTTGAGGTCGTTGTGGTGGTTGTCGTCGTGGTCGTACTTGTTGTAGTTGAGGTTGTGGTAGTTGTGGATGTCGTCGTTGTGGTCGTGGTCGTCGTCGTAGTGGTGGAGGTAATCGTTGTGGTCGTAGTAGATGTGGTTGTCAGGGTGGTGGTGGTTGTCTCGGTCGTAGTACTGGTAGTGGTTGTCGTGCTCGTAGTGGTGCGGGTCGAGGTTGTGGTGGAGGTTGTCGTCGAAGTTGTCGTAGTGGTAACGGTTGTGGTGCTTGTGCTTGTGGTGGTGGTTGTTGTTGTGAAGGTGGTAGTTGTGGTGCTAGTGGTCGTCACGGTGGTCGTGGTAGTGGATGTCACAGTTGAGGTTGTCGTGATTGTGGTGGTAGTTGTCGTGACTGTTGTCGTTGTCGTAGTGGTGATCGTAGTTGTAGTTGTGCTCGTGGTGGTGGTTGTCGTCGTTGAAGTTGTTGTGGTTGTACCTCAGATCGGCTGGCCGGGCTTCTTTAGAGCTCAAGGGTCTAACGTAGGGGCGTCTATATTTAGAACAGCTTTTTGGGGTGTATGGCTTATTGATGCTAACTTTCAACTATCGTAAGGAATCCCAAGGAACAGTATTGGCAATTATTGAGGGTGCCCGACCGTAAGGAATGAAAAGACAGAGGGGCTGAGGGGTGGACTTCCCAAGGACGTAAGTGGCGTGCAAAACTCGGATTGCTAATCTCGAGCCTCCCAACATCTACACTAACTTTAGAATGAATCAAGACTTCAAGACTCAACCCTAGATTCCCAAATTTCCCCCAAGGGCCTCAAGTCCTTCATCGCTTCCCCACGCTTTCTGAGAGTACCGAATGAGGAAGCGGAATCGAAAGAAAGTATGCTGCAAGTCGGACTACATGGCAATTCCGGAAATTCCCCAAGACGCTCCAGATTCACGGCAATACCTGACACCCGTCGGCGTAAATCCAAGAATCCTAAAGCCTGCAGGAACAACCCACCTGTAATCTGAAAGCTCTGAACACTCCGGTATCCTCAATCCTGAACATCGATCCTGCAAGAGGAGCGCGGCGGGTTCAGCTTTCGGGGTGTAGGGTGGCTCCACCAGTGCAAGCCCCAACCTTAAACCCTCGGCCCTAAACCTTCCCCTCCGTCTTTACCCCACAGACCGCCAAATGGACAGCAATCTCTGCAAAAGGCAGCTCTGAATACACTGCAGTGCTGTCGGAAGACGCACACAGCCTTCGAGAGTGAAGCCCTCGCCATCTTCTTCGCAGATCTTCACCTTCGCCTGGCCGACAACCCCGGAGCAAGCTGGTGAAGACCATTTCCATTTTCGGACCATGCACCACCCCGTAGCACCCAAGCCATGACAACCTATACCTCACCCCCCCCATCTCACCAGAGACTACAGCTACACTATGCTTACGCACTATTAAAATAACGGTACTGAGAGATAAGGTAGGAAAGGCGCAAGAATAGCATTATTTTGTTGACAGAATATTATGACTGGTGTATTATTTAGGATTGATTAGGTCGCCATATTCCTTTTCAATGTCCTTAACACTTTTGTTAATGCACTTAGCAGCAATCTTCGATGTTTCATCTAGATATCTATTGTGTTTGTTTCCTTCGCTATTAGACAGTATTTTCTATATGCTCAATTACGTCTGAATATTGCTTTATTAACTTTTGGTCTTCTTGAATTCTACTTTCTAGAACACAAACATCACTTCTGCCATTACAAACATCTTCATTATCAAAACAACTTCAGAAACTATCATTAACTTTCTTAACTCATTAATTATGTTTTATTTACATGATCTATCTCATGTGTTTTCATGTCATAAGCTTTCTGGATATGCTTCACTTGCGTTTTGTACGTTTTTAAATTTGTAAGAGCCATTTTCCTCTTAATCTGTGTTATTTCGTTTAGTGTTTTTTCTTCAGAAATTCTTTTCTTAAGGTTTAGAACAAGACAGTCTTCTAGAAATTTGTCGTTCATAAGCAACTGCTGAACGTGATTGAATATTTTATCATACTGGGTTTAGGTTTCTCTGGTTCTGGCTGTGGTTCTGATGCCTCTCCTTCATCAACAAATTTATTAGGAAATTGTTCGTTCAATCGCTTGCGCATTACCTTTTTTTGTTTCTCGTGTTCTTCCGTAATTTCTGATTGTATTTTGTCGGCTAGTTTGCCCTGTCTTCTTAAACCTCCTAGTTGCTTTAACTGTTAACCCTTCATTAGCACATGCAGTTCTGAATTCGTATGTCATGCATACTGAAAATGGGCTTCCCAGTTTTCGTATCTCACTTTGTGACCGCATTCCTCGCATAACTTACTGCCTTTGGCTCTCTCCTCCTTTCTCGCTTGGTTGTATTCATTCTTATTCTTGTCGTACCATTTTCGCTTCGCTTCCCTGCATCTCTTACAAGTTTTAAACCCATCAGACTCTCCAACATCTTTACTCGCACAACACGATTTACACACTCGCTCTTCCGGTGCATCGTTAGAACATGGAAATGGTCTACCCTATGGTTTTGCCTTGTTCCAAAACCTTATTACTTATTCCTATTATAATATTTGTTTTGGAGAAGACCATTTCCATTTTCTGGGTTATGGATTTCGGGTGGATACTATCGGGTTTTTCTATGGCGGTATTGGTGTATGGAGTTTAGGTTGGGGTTTTTCTATGGGGGTATAGGTGGTTCCATAATATGGCTTCTTCAGATCGGTCTTGGTATGGGTCTTCCCATGGGTCTTTTGGTGGGTTGGGGGTTGAGGCATAGGTTGTTATGGTTTGGGTGCTAGGGGGTGGTGCATGGTTAGAAAATGCAAACGGTCTTCACTAACTGAAAATCCGTGACCATGGCGCAGCCTTGAGAGTTTAGGGTTTAGCGGGTTTAGGGCTTCAGGAGGAATGAAGGAGAACCTTGAGGTCGAGCCCAAGCGGGACGGACTGATGGCGAGGATTGTCGCTGTCGCTGCGGCTGCCGCCGTTTGTGCAGTCGCTCTCGCTGCTGCCGATTTGTTGCTGGTGTCGGGTCCATCCTAACTAGCATGTAACAATGTAACAGGTTGGGACTCTGCGACAGACTAGCCCCGGGATGCAAGCTCCAAATCGCTGACAGAGGCTGCCTCACCGGTGTAGCCGTCGGCACAGCTGACGCCAACGTCAAAGGAATGCCTGCTATACCAGACATTGCGTCTAGGGTTGGTCTTCGGATGGCGCAAATGTTTTGGCCCTCGTTGCTGTGGGTTTCGTTACCGCACATGACATGGTCCTTGTTCAGATACCTCCCGCAGCACAGCCACAAGGCAGGTTCGCTTGTTGATTCAGATCTCCAAAAACAAAGAACAGCGCGTGTTTTGGATGATCCCGGACCTTCAAAAACCCTTCCCCTGCCCCATATGCATGCAAACAAGTATGCTCTCAATGCCTTGCATCCGTGCCCCCAAGCGTCGGATCCCGCCTTTCCAGGCTCTTCACCTCGACAGAGTAAGCGACGTCGTTGATGGCCTTGCAGACCTCGGAAAGGGCTTTTGCCAGCGGCAACAGGGTGAGGATCCGTTGTTTCAGGTCACAGGCTGGCGAGGCAACAGCCTGCACAGCCTATCGCCTGTCAGCTTCACGATATAGCCGGTGACACCAATAGCCCACACAGTCTGCAAAAAAGCTCGGTATGGCCCTTTGGGCGACACCATCAGGCGTGTCAAGGAATGCAGGATGGTGCCATAGGTGGATGGGCATTCAGCCCTGGCCAGCCAAGCCTCCCAGAACCTCTCTTTGGGCCTGCTGTGGCCCATGTATCATCATGCAGGACTCCGAACAAAGCTGCGTCACCAGCAGTGCTGACGATGACAACGGGAAGATGAAGAAGAGGAGCCGGATAAGAATCATAGTGATGGTGATGGTGCTCGTGCTCGTGCTGCTAGTGATAGTGGTAGTATCAGTGACACTGACGACGCAAGCAATGCTCATGTTGATAGTTACAGTGGCACTGATGGGGCTGATGGTCGGTAGCGCATGTCTTCGTGCGTAGTGTTTCGACCAGGAGCTGGTGGAAGTTATTCGTTCCATCTATCTTCTGCACGAGAAAATCGAAATCGTCGCTTCCTAAACGGCAGACAAGGATGAATTCAAGGCTCTGCCCGCAACCTGCCAAGAAAAAAAAAGCACGGTTCCCCTCTGACGGACGCGTGTGTGCTGGAGTTTGCGGAGCTGTCATTGAAGCCCCAGGTCGCAAACCTCGGACACCCAAGATTCTGATGTGTAGATGTTTCCAAGCCCGAAGCCTGAACTTGAGAACCCTCGAAATGGCCACAGGAAGCCAAGAAGCCGTTGGCCGGCAACCAGAGAGCGAGTACCTGCAAAAGCGCTCGGCGTGACTCAAGATCTGTGCTGATCTGATGGTGCTGCAGGTGGTGACTGTTGCTAGTTGTGCCGCTGGGGTCAATAGCGGTCGCTTTGTCGATGGCGGGTGGCGGCACGGTGCACGGAAGTATTTCAATAAAGTGCCCAACACGCCTAAGCCTCAGCGCTCGAGCAAGACTGCTCCATCCAACTTACGCCGGATCGAGAACCCTCACATTGAAAGTACAGCTGCTCCCCTTACATATCCCCGAAGCTCAGCCAGAGTCTTATCATGTCAAATCCTGGAATGCTTCGGCCAAGTCACTCGGTGGCATCTTCTGCGCAAACTTTCACCCTGACGGTTTGGTGAGCGGTGATACAAGAGCCAGCATGATAAGATTTCTCTGCCGCAGAGTCGTTTTAGGGAACCTGTGAAATGAATCACGGCTCTCGCGGCAATCCGTGCAACATCAAGTGCTAACATGTAACAGGCTGTGTCACACATCGTGAAATGCCTACCTAGAGAGTGTAGTAGAGGTCAAGCAGGATATGACCGGCACTAAGGGCTCAGAAGGCCTTTCATGCTAAACCCCTAGAAGCCAGCCTTAAACCCTAAACCCTGAAATTTGGCTTACGGTCTCAGAAAGCTTCTGGAAGCCGATAAACGCCACCTGGGCCGTAAACCCCGAAACTCCCAAACGCCATAGAACCCTGGGCCAGGATCAGAGAAGCCTGAGCGCGTGCGCTCTCCCGCAGAAGCCCTGGAACCCCAAACCCTCAAATATCCCCAGACAAACCCCAAGCTCCCCAAAATCCCCACCAGATGACCCTAAACCCCTAATTAAAGCCCTAACACGCCCTCCAAAAAAAAATCCCCCAAGCTCGAGACCCTTAAAAACCCGTGCGCGTAAAAACGTTGGGCCGAAGGGCGAGGCAGTCCCCACGAAGTCGGCGGCGCAGGCGGCTTTCACGTCGAAGTCCGACAACTTCAGCGAATGCTCTGAGACCTCAAGGCAGCCCAAGGCAGGCCCCCGAGGTTTTTGTCCCTTTCTTTTTTTTTTTGTTGGGGGGGGGGAGGGGGGCATCGGGCCGCACAGGGTTTAGGGGGTTTAGGGGTTTAGGGGGTTCAGGGGTTTAGGGGTTTAAGGGGTGTAGAGGTTTAAGGGTTTAGGGGTTTGGAGCTAGTTTAGGGTTTGGGGCTTGGGGTTTAAGGGTTTAAGAGGTTTAGGGCTTCAAGTGTGTAGGGTTCAGGAAGGTTGCGAGATATCCGAAGATTGGAGGATTTCGTGGTATGTTGTAGTACATGTTAGTACATTATCCTATAGTACGTTGTAGTATATGCTATAGCATGCTATGGTATATTATGTACTATGGCACGAAGGGCCCAAATAGCCGCAAAAGCGCGGAAGATTGAGGCCCCAGAACCGGGACAAGCCTGGTTCGTAGCAATTCCTCCTTCCGAGCCATCTCCCAACTGGCATCGGCGATTGAGAGCTCAGCGAGCGAAAGGCCGCAGAGCTTACCACCAAGGCCGGATACCCACTGGAACCCAGCGAGGCAATCTGGTGCGACACCACGCGTCTACAAGAGACTACAGGAGGATTTTACGACATATGGGAAAGAAGCCTGGCCGAGGACAATGGGCAGGACACACCCGAGAGTACGATGCATATACCTCGTACCCGGAGTCCTCCTGGCAGTATTGGCCTGGGGCTTGGAGCCCAAAGAACCGAGACCGGCCTTGGCAGGCTGGGTCTCTCCCCGCCTTCCCGGCCTACGATGCACAAGTGCGTGTGCAAGCACTCGACAAGGCTTCGGCCCTTGCCAAAGGCCAGGGCAAAGGCAAGCCCTGGGAGTCGTGGGGAGCTCCAGCTCCAGACCCAGCCGACTCCATGACCCAGTTCCTACAAGAGGCGATCAACTCGACTCGGAAGTCCGAGCAACGAGTTCGCAGCCTTACAGCTACACGTGCCAAGAAGGAAACACTATGGAACAAGTACCTGGAAGATATGAAGCAGACTCTGCAACGAGAACACCTGCGCCACCAGAGGGAGATGGAACGGATCTCCTCAGAATTGCAGGCTGCGGCCCAGGTACAAGACGAGGCTCGCACACACCTCCGCCAGTCTTGGGAAGCTGTTGCCAGAGGAGGCCCTCCCCAGGCAGAGGCTATGGATACAGAGGATGCCACTTGGGAGTCTCTTTTGGCCCAGTGGCAAGCAGAGCAACAGGACTCCGTGGCTTCGCATGCTGTGTTGAGGAGAGCGCTAGGAGCTGCCAAGGCCACAGAAGCAGCCCTGCCTGCACCACTTGGCGAAGCTATGCAGACCCCTCCGCGAAGGGGCCCAAGATCCCCGCCTTTGACTCCGCCTTCGGTTGCAGCCACACATACAGCCTCTACACCGCCGGGCCTTTCTCGTACTACGGACCCTTACATGGTCTCGCCGGGACAACCTGCCATGCCGGAAGGTGTTCATCCGGTGGAAGCCCCTGGCCCTGGCACCGCAGCACCGCAGGATGCAGCTTTGCCTTCCCGGCCCAGAACAGCGGAGCCCCGTACACCAGTCAAGAAGCTTCCTTCTGGGGTTCATCATGCAGCCACTTCCTTGCACAAGGAGATTGCCGAGAAGTTAGCACAGAAGCGCTCGCATCTGGCTTGTCAGCAAGGTACAGCCATGCAGCCTTTCAGGGTGCCTACCATGGAGCCGCCGCCTCCCAGCGGACTCGACCCGCCTCCGCCTCATTCGGGGTTGGCCGATTGTTCAATGGTGGATTCCGAGGACGAGTTGATTTTGCCGCCTGTCGTTCCGAAACCGGAGGAAAAGAAGGTATAGGTTTACGACTGGAGCCGGCACAGAAGGTGGCAGCTGCAAGCCTCCCCAAAGAAACCTGCCACGGAATGCCCCCGGGGTTTGGGTATTTCCGTTGGCATTTTTCTGGTAGGCGGCTTGCAGCCAGTTACTATCTGTTCACGGCTCTAGGTTTCTCACCGAGGCTTTGTACAGACACGGCGATCCACATTCCTCTTTGCGGCTACACAGTTATGCGGGTCGGCCCACAACTGCGATGTGGCCTTTTGCCTTTCAGCCCCCACTCCTTTTTAGAGGTTGTTGGGTTTAGGCCCTCCCCCCTTTTGGGTACCCGTGTTGCTGCCTGTACTCCAGTTTTGCACCCCTTGGAGTCAGCCTTTGTGCCAGTGCAGCCCCCACCACATAGTGATGCAAGAGCGCGAAACAGTCGTATCGGTCGCTCTGGGACGACGGCCTTGCATCACTTTCCTTCTCCGAGCTCAGGACCCTGCACATCAGGTAAGAAGGCTTTTTCATTAATGCCGACTGCCATGAGTTCCAAGCTCATACACCCTGACAGTCCCTTCCACATGCCTTTACCCTCCTTTTTGGTTGTAGGGTTTAGTCCTGGCCTGACCCCACCCTGCAGCATGGCACTGCATACTCTTCACTCCGGTTCTCCTAAAGCCATGAGTATGTGTGTCGTTGCCAGCAGTGCACATACAGGAGCGCGAAACAGTCATATCGGTCGCTCTGGGATGACGGCCCTGTATCTGCACTTTAGACTCACGGGCACAGGTTTGCCGCCTTTTCCATTGGAAATGGAAGATACTGCAGGATCAGCCCTCTATGCCTCATGTTTTGCTGGAGCTGGCGTGCCGAAAAGATACATCGGTGGCTCTGGGGTATCTACCCAGCTCCTTGTCCCTGCAGTTGTTCCCACTGAAGCAGCTCTCACTTCCTACGATTCTCTAGGAGATAACACAGAGCTGGCAGCCTTTTTCCTCTTGCAACTTTTGGCCGGTATTTGGGTTCCCTTCTGGCTCACCTTGTTGCTCGGGGCCTTTTTCATCTTGGTCAGCCTTTGGCTTAAGCCCTTGTCCGTTTGGCGCATTCCCCGTCTCAGGTTTCGTGCCTCACGGTCTTTTGAGACTCTGCAGAAGTCTCTTGTGCCCTGGGGCTGCGCTTCGCCCTGCACTCCCGTGCTAAACTGGCAGCAGCCAACTGCCAAACCCTTGCCGCGCAGACGTCATGCGCCATCCCAATACCCAAGCCACTCCGTTGCCCCGAGGTTCTCCTTAGGCATTTTGTCTTGGTTGTTAGGGCTTAATAGTCTGCCAGTGCAACCTGGTCTGACACATGTCAGCTTTGTCACGGCCACATGGTTGCTTTTTCCACAGCCCGTTGCAGCAATGGCTAGGCCCGAGGTGTCAGGCGAGCCTCTTGGGCCTCCTCCGTGGGACCTCCATCCGGATCCCTTACCAGCCTCCATTGGCCTTGGCCAACCCACTCTGCCTTGGGCTGATGAAGGACGAGCAGAAAGGGCTGCCACAATTTTCCATACAGGAGAAATACCATGGCAGCCAGAGCCCCTTCCCGCTGAACTGCCTGACCAGTGGTTAGGAGTTTATGTGTATACTCCACATTATCAGCCATTCGAGTTTGCCATTAAGGCAGATCGGAGTCAGGGCTCCAGACCTGTGCTCGATGCCATCATCGATTCGGCCCCAGGCACGCCTGACAGGCTTTTTCAATGTGCTGTTCCAGTGGTCCCGCAACGCATTCCCGGCTATTTACATGTGCTTAGGTATCCCAGTATCATTGGTGGTCTGGCCGAACCTTGTGCTGCCGTTATGCTCGACCTTACACATGTCGGAGGGCGCTACTTTGCTACGGTGTTACCACAGCGCATTGAGTACCACAGTCTGTTGGCCTTCCTGAGACCCTTCACCACACAAAGCGAAGACAGCCTGTGCCTATATGTTGGTGCCCGAACCCGGCCCTGGCCCTCCGTAGCCGAAGTAGTTTTCAGACATGGCGAAGCAATCACTGCATTTTGGAAGCCACAGGAGGACTACACTTGCATTCGGCCAGAAGAAATGTTCCGCGGCTCCATGCAGTGGGGCCCCATGCACCATTTCTTCCGTGTCGAACAGAGGCAAGCTGTGGGCGTGCTCTATCGTGATCAACGATATAGCATACCAAGAGATCATATCCAAGGTATGCTCGTTGATCAGGCGATCTTGGACACGTTTCGTTTTGATCCAGCCAGCATTACCATGTGCACCTTCCCTACAGAAGGCTTGGAGATACAAGGTCATGCCTGCCCCACTGTCGTTGCTGTTGCTGACAAGCCTATTCATCCATCAGGAGCTCCTCTCACACAGAGGCAAGATATCTTCACTTACTGTGATCTGAGACCTCTAGGCTTGCGCCCAAGATGTGTTCGCACCAATGTGCCTGCCATCCATCTGCCGACACTTGCCTCAGACTTTGGAATATACTTGCCGCCTGCTTTTCGCCTTGGGGTTGTTGGAGGCTACCGAAGAGGTGACACCATCCGTGTGCGAGGCAATTCTACTCTTCTCTTTTTTGCAGAGGAAGACGACTCCGAAGAGTCTTCTCCAGAGGTCCCGGCACCTCCTCCTCCTCCCCCCGACATCGCTTCGCCTGGCCCTTGGGAAGATACTGTCTCTTTTCCCACTGCAGCAGGCATGCTTCCGGGAGGCGAGGACCCTTCGTCGACAGCTCCCAGCACACAGACAGTGCCAGTTTCCATGACACCGGAAGTTGCAGGTTCTCATGCTGTTGGCCAAACTCAAAGTGCTCAGGCCTCTGATACGGACGATCTGGCACACATGAATCCCTGGCAGGCCGAACTTGCATACTTCGGATTAGAGCTGCAGCCTCCGAATGCTTCAGGTGAAGTGTATGCTGTTCTTGCAGAACCTTCACACTCTCCCTTCCAGGTCACGGCCTATGTGTTCGCTCAGGATTTCTCCCCCGAGCGTTTTCAATTACAGCTCCCTCTGCCTTGCAGCGTCTCAGGGGCTCTTGCAGCTGCTGCCGATGCACGACGGGGAGACCTTGGCATGTACTTCCCCAATTTGCATCCTGTGACTCCACAGCCTTTCGCTGACATGCTGGTCCTTGTGGCCTCACCTTCCTGGATGCAGGATAAGGTTGTGGTTCTATTTGACTGTCGTAGGATCGATGGCACCATGTTTGCATGTCTTGTCTTCCCCACTCTTCGTCCAGGGTCCCTGCTTCTAGCCACAGGGAACAGTGCGGAAGCT